TGAAAAACCAAAAAAAAAAAAACAAAACAAAACAAAAAAAAAACAAAAACAAAAAAAAAAAACAAAAACAAAACAAAACAAAACAAAACAAAAACCAAAAAAGAAAAACCAGTTCAGTTTGTTTTTGAAATATTGTCTTGGATTTCTATCTGTCTCAGGACTGTTCCTTATTTTTTTTTTTATTAATTCATCCCTAATGTTTCCTTACCTATTATATGATCTCTGTTTTGTATTTGTGACCTTATTTCCTGTCAGTTTTAAACGCCAGATTTGCCTTATTCTATCTCTAGCCTGGATGTGTCTTCTAAACTTCAAAACTCAGTCAACATCTGTCTCTACATAAAGTGTGTTAGGAATTTTAAGACAAAACTCTTCCCACCAAATCTTCTCTTCTCAGTGTTCCCTATTAAGGTAAATGGGAACTTTATTCTCCTAATTGTTCCCTTTTTTGTTTGTTTTGATTTTTGACTCATTCATTTTATTTTATGTGTATGAGTGCTTTGCCTGCAAGTATGTATATGCTGTATGTACATGCCTGGGCCATGCAGAGGTCAGAAGAGAGTATCAGATCCTGTAGAACTGACTAGAATTTCCAAAGGTTGCAAGCAACTAAAGGTGGCTGGGAATAGAAACAGGGTCAGAGCATCAAGTATTCTTAACAATTGCCACTGAGCTCTCTTCAGCCTACTGTTCAGTTTTTAAAAACAAACAAAAAGTCACTGACTCATCTAGATTTTCTCACAATCCATATTCAATCTACATCTAAACCTGTGATATGGTCTTAGACTAGAAAGGGGGAAATATACCACATTCTAATTTACAGAATGTTCCGTCAAAAATGAATACTCAGGACTGGAGAGATGGCTCAGCAATTAAGAGCACTGGCTGTTCTTCCAGAAGTCTTGAGTTCAAGTCACAGCAACCACATGGTAGCTCAAAACCATTTGTAATGGGATGTGATTGACTATTCTGGTGTGTGTGAAGACATAAAATAAATAAATATTTTTTTTTAAAAAAATGAATACTCAAGGTCTTAGCACCAGTAAATTAAAAACAAATCAACAGCAAAATAGCATTTCATGTTCTGGACGCATTCTTAACTTTAAAAGACAAGTTAGTAGTGTAGACTAGTTTGAAAAGTCTTGCCTAGCATAGGCATAGGAAGCCCTGGGTTGGCTGTTCAGCACCATATAAACTGGGCTTGGTGCTGCTCTTATAAACACAGAGCCAGCCAGGGAGGTGAGTGAGGAGGAAGAGGAGTTCAAGTCACCCTTGGCTATATACCTGGGACACACAATATCTTGTCCAAAAAAAAAAAAAAAAAAGGAGGAAGTAGAGAAGAAAAGTTGGAGTAGGGAGAGGGTATGCCAAGTTTATAAAGTGTGATGTTAGTGGGAAGACCAAGATTTTTACTATTAAGTATTAGTATCCTACTAATCCACAGGTAATGACACAGTAGAAAAGCTGTATATACTACTGTAATTTGAGAAAAATATCACATTTAGAATGCTCAACTTTGTGTAGGTGGATATATCACCATATATTTCTCACTGTAAATTCATAAACTGACATGACAGTTCATATGCTGAGTTCTTATCAGTCTGATTAATACACAACCCTTTATCTCTGGGAAAGTAGATAAAAATAAAGTTCCTACGGTTAAAATCAAAGGCCCCAGATAACTCCAAGACACTGATAACTTTAAGAATGTATCCAACAAGCTGGGCAGTGGTGGTGCATGCCTTTAATCCCAGCATTCAGGAGGCAGAGGCAGAGGCAGGTGGATCTCTGTGAGTTCAAGACCAACCTGGTCTACAAGAGCTAGTTCCAGGACTGCCTCTAAAGCCACAGAGAAACCCTTTCTCGAAAAACCAAATAATAATAATAATAATAATAATAATAATAATGATAATAGAAAATAAAATAAAAATGTATCCAACAGCTAGAATATGCCACGTCACCTTGTACCTCTAAAGTAAGATGTAATGCTTTTTATAATGAGTTCTTAAACAACAACAAAAATATCTTGAGGAAACCAGACAGATGACTCAGTAAATAAAGGCATGAGCCACCACAGCCTTATGACTTGAATTCAATCCCTGGAACCAACAAGATGAAAGGAGAAAACAGATTCCCACAAATTTTCCACTGACCTCCACATGTACACTCTAGCATACATCTGAACACAAAGTAAAATATAATTACAATTTTTAAAACCATTGCTTATATAAAAGAAGTATGCTCTCAAAATATTTTTTCTTCAACGTTAATTTGACCAACTCTAAAGCCAGAATTAAAAAAAAAATCATTAGATGGAAAGGAATATGTTACAATTCTTCCCCCTTTCTTTGTAATTATTGCCAGAGGATCTTCCTCTTAAATATTAGAATTCCCCTGCGATGGATACAAGGCCTCCTTCTTAGTGTAATATTGGATATTTTGAATATTTTACCATGGCTGAAAAATACAATTATATATAAGTCCATTGTGGTGGTGCTTGTATTTAGTAACAGCACACTGGAGGCAGAGACAGATGGATCTCTGTGAGTTCCAGGTCAGCCAGCAATACAAAGAGAGACTCTGTCTCAAAAACAAAACAAATCATTACATGCTGCAAGTTCAAA